GACAGTTTGTTGTTTGAAGGACTGGTACCAGTAGGTCAAAGAGAGAACCCTGTTGTTGGAGCAACATAAAGAAATGCTGCACAGACATATGCAGCACATGGAGCAACTGAGTTTGTCTGTGAATAAATTAATGGGCAGATCTAGAAGTTTGAATAGCTTATCAGAATGTCCTTAAGAGCAGTTAATGCTAGTCAGTCTGGTTGTCTCTATAGTATAAGTGCTTTCTTAATGGGTCAATATACTGAATAATATATTAGTATCGAAGAGTATCGAAAAGCACAATCATGGAGAAGCTGCTTGAAACATTTAATTTTGCAAAAATTAAATGTTCACTCAAAACCCAAACATTATTCTAGAAGTTAGGATAGGGCAATGCTTTTTTCAGGCAGGCCACAAAATCAAGCAGCAGATCAGATGACCGATGTCGCCAATGCCTGTTCTGTTCTGCATGGATTTCCTTTTCCCCCATCTGTGACTTTCCAAATATGCACATGGAAGCACAGGTATGTCTCTGATCGATTCATACCACCAAATATAAGTTACTGCAGTTAATGCAGGACCACTGCAGTCCTGCAATAATTTTATATTTAACTCAAACATTTTTGACCGCACCTCATGTGCATCAGTTCCTCCAATCCCGGTTGCATTGCATTGTATAAATGTGTAGCAGTCATTATCAGATTCTAAATATTATGATACTCTTTGATGTTGTGCACAAATGCAAGGTTTCCCCTGGCAGATACATAGTTTTACTTCAATGTATATAAAAAAACCTAACCAAATTTTGAGTTTTTCATTTTATATGTAGACACAAGTGACTTTACACACACACACACACACACACACACACACACACACACACACACACACACACACACACACACACCACTAAAACACAAGTGAGGCAACACACAGCCATGCTTGAGAGTTTTATTATTGCATAGGAAGAAGAGTTTACAGATAAAAGATGTGCAAAGATGAGCAATACTTTTTAGGGAAAAACTACTTTTCCAGAGTTTAGGCTAGGGTTAAGAACTAGGGTTGGGATTGCCACTATTCATGACATAGACTTTTTATTTTGTTGCAAAATTTTTATGCTAGAGACAAAAGATGAAACAGAAATTGTAAAGCCAAATGAAGAATGTAAAACAAAAGCCACTGCACACCAAACAGTGTGTATTTTGACAGAAATTTCACATTTTCTTGACACAAACAGAAGGTCGACTTTTGCTGCATGCTATATCATCC